AGGTAAATTAACTCAAAGGCATTCTGAGGGAAGCAAGGAATTGAATTGGACTCTTCTGAGCCTCTGTGTTATCCAATCAGAAGAGGACAAAACCAAACTAGATTCAATTTCCAAACTTTTGATTGGATGTAACAGAGAGGAGGAACCCAAAATATTAGATGGATGAGAACAGGAAACCCATTTTATGTTTTATAAAATACCAGTGACCTTTATGGCTGGTACAAATTCTCCCTTGCTTTCCTTGTGCCCTTGGACATAGTTAAAATTTTATCCATATTGCATGAGTAGCTAATATTATTGCCAAATAAATAGTCATATTGGCTTCCAAATTTCCTTTTTGAATGGAATACAATTGGCAATCTCTTTATACATTAAACCTGGTATTCTGCGATTAGCATATTTCTAAAGAATGGTTTCAATTTAAAGGGATACAACCATTTAAATATTTCTTGGTCATTAAAGGGATTCAGCCATTTATATAAATACTTAGTTATTAAAGGGATATAGCTGTTTGAAAATTTTCTTTGTAATTCTAGAGCTATTCAGCTATATGTATCTCTTGTTAAAGTGATAATTTTGGCATGTAGTTTGCCTTCAATAGCTTAAAAACTTACATTAAAGCTAGTCTAAGCTACTGGGTCTCCATTTAGTGTACAAAAGCTGGAAACAGTCTCTCTAAGAAAATAGCAATAACCTTTACATCATCTTCACAATCTCACAAAGTTCATCTTATACCTTGACTGCAATAGTCACCTTGCTTGTACCATGGAAGTTTGTAAATGAAGCTTTTGAGTAGATAGTACGCAAGCGAATACAGGCAGAGGAATTTCTGTCAGGACTCTTGATTGGCTAACGTACAATCCAATCAAATCTCTGTATCTACAAACTTCCCTGATACAAGAAATGTGACTATTGCAGTCAAGGTATAAGACAAAGTTTATAATAGCTTGACAATGTGAAGATGCTTTTATGTTTACAATTTCTTCAACCCAATTCTGATTTAAGAGCAGCATTGAATGTCCTTTTTCAAAAAAATTAAATTATGCAAGGAATCTCTTGAATTGCCAAATATTCTTTCTTTTTAATTATTTTGTAATATTTTTTGTCTTTTATTGACCAATTACATAGCAATATTATGTGTTCTTCTGTTATTGAATAAATTTTTGAAAATAATCAACATCTTTGTTCTATATTAATAAAAAAAAAGTACCAAGTACGATTTGCACCGCAAAATGACACCCAGAATCCAAAACAACATATTGTCGAAACAATTGGTAGCAGCTAATGATCTCTTCATATGAGTAAGTATATCAATCATAAATGAGTAAGTATTTCATAATGAAAAGTGGTAGCAGCTAATGATCTCTTCATATGAGTAAGTATATCAATCATAAATGAGTAAGTATATCAATCATAAATGAGTAAGTATTTCAATCATAAATGAGTAAGTATTTCATAACAAAAGTGGAACAAGATAAATCATTTCAATGCCATACAGTGTGCAATGGTGACAAGCCTGCTCTTTTTCGATTTCCAACTGTTGAGGGATCTTAAACGTCACAGGGGCCTCAATTTATTTTTCTATGTCATATGAATATCAAAAATACAGTGGAATAATCCTGTTTGATTTTATGACCTTCAAGGACTGATTGGCTGTGCATATACACCAATCATCTGCAGCATTAAAAAACCAACACCTAAAATATATCTGTTAAATTTTAGTTTTTTTTCATAATAATATGAATAATAATAATAATAATAAAATTCACATAAAATTAGATAAGATTTCTTGTCATGATTATATTAAACCCTTATATGGTATAAACATCTCATGAGAACACAATGTTTTCTTTAAAAGAGATTGTAAAGAGGTTTTCTTAATGTTTCTTGTGTATCAGGTACACAGATAGCATTGATTTACACCATTCTAATTTTCAATCAGACGTCCATAGTTCCTGTAATAATAGACACCAATAACTATATTGCTTATAACTAAGTGATAATATAAAACACTTAGTTTTAGTGAAATTGCAAGAACCAACAGACATCTAATTGAAAATTGATGTTATCAATGTCCCCGATGCACATAAAAAGTTTAGAAAAACTCTTTACAATCTCTTAAAAAGTTAATTTATACATATCAATATATTCTTTCTACTCTTCACAATTACTGGCAATTTCAGGTGCAGGTGATACATTGAAAATTATCAAGAAAAATGGTCCATTTCAAAAAAGCCAATAAGCATTACTAATAATCACTGGTAATTGTTAGACAAAGGTTACTGTATAATTGTCAATATAATGTACATACTACTTACTCTTGAGTAAATTTTGAAAAATCTTTTATTACCATAGATAATAGCCACCTTTCTTGTATCAGCGAACGCAGTAATTTCATTGGTTGTAAGCTAGCAAATACTGCCAATCAAACCCTTCAACATAAAGAATGTAAAACTTATGTTTGTTACAGTCTCTTTGTTGAAGACTCTGATTGGCTGTATTCTGTAGTGTACAATCAAATTCATTAACAAACTTTCTTATACAAGAAAAGTGGCTGTTACAGTCAAGGAAAGTTACGAAGTTGGCAATAGCTTGGCACTGTGAAGATGAGTCAAGCTATAGGCAAAGTTGGCAATAGCTTGGCACTGTGAAGATGAGTCAAGGTATAAGACAAAGTTGGCAATAGTTTGACATTGTGAAGATGAGTCAAGGTATAAGACAAAGTTGGCAATAGCTTGACATTGTGAAGATGGCCCAGACTCCGCTATTACCAATATTTGTGAAGAGAAGATTTGAATGGTTTGTTAGTGAAAACATTATTTGATAAAAACATTTGATAACTGTACATAACAGTAAAACATTATATATACAAATCTATACACAATACAAGATAAATATATTCTTAATGATGATAGTGGTAAATCTTTTAGTTGACTTCAATTCATGATTTGGGTTAAAAAAAAGAGTTTTTGTGAACTTCGTTTATGATAACTTTAGTAAGTCTTTTAATTGACTTCAATTCATGATTTCAGTTAAAAAGAGTTTTTGTGAACTTAATTTAAATATTAATGATATAATATGTTTGAATGTTTGATGAGTTAAATTAAATTAAATTAAATGATTTGATTATGACATGTGAAACCACTGACAGTTTTTGTGAAGTTATTTTTAAGATTTGTAATAAGATTTTTATAAATTTATATTCGATATAATATTCGAGAATCTTTTAGCTAACTTAAAGATACAGATGTGCCAATTTGTGGGGTTGATTTGAGTCTTAAATATATGTATATTAATATTGCTTCAAAAACATCTCATACTAAAAATATCTTTTCTTATTTCTATAGATATTATTTCTATATATGGCAGTATCTAAAAAAAAGACGACTCGTCTTTTCACTTTCAAACGAAGATAATTCTGGACACACATGGATTTAAAGACTCCAATTTTGGCGGTGAGCTGTGAACACTATTACTGATTGGCTTAGATAAAAAAATTTCCTGTTTCTGAGACTTAAGTAGGATTGGTCAAAAAATGGCACACCTGTCCCTTTAAATTTATGATTTTACGTGAACATTTTAAAAAGTGTTTTTTTTCTTCCAACTTTTGATAAATTCTTGTATGAAGTATGATGCAAACTTCTAATTTCTTTGCTCTTGTTTGGAACTATCAAATCATAAAATTATAAACTGATACTATGGCATTTGATAATTTGTCCGCGTTGTATCAAAAAAATGAAAAACTCTTAAGATCCCGATAATTTCAAATTAATCCAAATATTAGCAAAAAATTTTTGAAAAAAAAATTCATACTGCAGGAATAAGTTAAATATAAAATAAATAAAATTTTCTGTATTTCAGAATCTTAAAACAATGCAAAATGCAAATGTTCACAAAACACATCGTTTGACTGTACACTGAACACCTTACTTTAATGGAAATTTTTATAAAAAAAACTTGATAAAAATTCCGAAGCCAGCAGCAGTAAAGGGAGATAACTATAAATGCATGATACAGATTATAAATTGTGACAATATAAAAATGAAATATTATGCTCTAAATGATCATACAAATATAAAATTCTATTTAAAAATTCCAGTAGATTCCTAACTGTCACAAAAATTGTTTACGAACTTGCCAGAACATCCCACTTGCAAAAGAAGCCCCTAATGTTTGAATATATAGAAAACCCTTAATGTATTGGCTAAGCCGCAAGTTCGTAATAACTAAAGGCAAAACAAGACCTTATGATTGAATTTGATATATAGAAAACTCTTATGTATTTGGTGCGCAGCAAGCCCCTTGTGATAAAATGTGCTCATATATGAAAGACATTTGGATTTCAAAAAGTATAGACAGGGACACAAATATAAACGATTAAAAACAATTTGCACCAATATTGAACGTTAGATGTAAATGCATATAAGTAGATATGAGGAATATAATTCGAGTGGTTATATACACTACTGGGCCTTGTGCCACAAAAAAACTTACAATTCCATTTCATCCCAGGTATGAGGTTTCTCAATGTTAAATTCTACACTTGCGACGAATTCTTATTGTAGGATTTCATGTGGAACGAGGTGTAGTCAACCTTTTGAATATAAAAATACACAACTAAAAAAAAGTATAATCCCTGAATCAATTTGCTGCACTCTGTTTTCTTTAGATGTTATTTTCTCTTGAAATTTTCGTAAGTCAGTTTACCAAATATCATAGAATTTAAAACTTTTTTTAAGTATATTTTGTACCAATATGGTGGATTGATCAAGGCCTTATCCCCATTTTCATCCAAACTATTTACATGTGTTTATCATTCTAAACTAAGTAACATATCTGTGGTGATTTTTTTTTTTTGAGTTTACGAATGGCTCCAACAAATATTCCGCTGTTTCTTGTTTTCATTGTCTCCAATGTTAAAGATCATTGAGGAATTCTTAACATCGCAAAATGATCAAAGAACAGCAAATTGAACCAAGGGCAGACAACTCTTAAATATATTAATGATTATCATGTAATGAAAAATTTAAAGGTGGCATGCCGAAAGATCCTGGATGTCCAGGTCCATGAAAGGGTGGCCCACTGTTTATACCTTGTCCCATTGGCCGCACATCAAAACCATGGGGATTATGTCCTAATAAGCTATTAATAGCCATGGCATTATGTAATTGTTGTCCAGGATGACCACGATTATGATATAATGCACTATTTTGATGATGATGTTGCAAAGAATTCGGGTCCATTCCATGTTGCTGTAACATGTGATTCCCGTGGGGAAACTTTATCGGAGAAATATTCAACGAATCACCTTGAGAATTGTTCACATCCGAAAAAATATTGCTCAAACCGAAATTCGACATTAAATGTGGTGCCATGGCAACGTTTCCAGAATGAGGCGTTATCTGAGGAGCACTTGAAGCACTTACATGGTTCATTCCAAAACCCGGCTGGAAATTCAGACCGGGTAAACTGTTTTGTGGGCGTGACGGATTGAACAAAGGATTAAAAGAAACACCGATATCAGAGTTTTTGGGTCCTGGCCCAGTATTTGGACGTGATCCACCGAACAAATTACTGTGCAAAAAGGAAGGTCCATCTCCTTGAAGGTTTCGATTAGGATTCGGAGATAAATTAGGCACAGAGAAATAAGGTGGCATTCCTTGATTAGAGTCAAAGATTGAATGAGCTAAATTCGTGTCCATTTCGGGATTAAACACTTGAGGTTTGCTCTTTTTGCTACTTTGTTTCCGTGATTGTGATTTTTGCCGAGGGTGTTGCGACGGGGCACTTGGCATATCTCTATGAGATAAAGGATTGTTTTGGGAACTCGTATTTTGCGACGGTATCTGATGATTTTGTGAGCTCCCCGATCCAGAATTCTGCTGCTGAGATTGCTTATTTGGTTTATTCTGGTGTTGACTTGACGTGGATTTTCTCATGTTATTTTGGTTTAAGTTGGAACTGGAGTCATAATGTACACTACTGGAGGGTCTTGGCACTGTATTGTTTGTGTTATTTTCAAAGCGATTAGCACCAAATGAAGCACTCGAAGATAAACCTGGTCCACGCGGTTGAAAATTTTGATCGAATGGTGGCTGATGTGTCAAACGCGAGCGCTCGTTGCTTTGAACAGGGGGATGCCGTAAAGGTGGAGTGGTGAGAGATGACGGTGGTTGATTAAAGTTTGTGGGAGGGAAATATGAAGAAGCACTATTAACTTGAGATCGAGAAGAAGGATTGTGATCCATTGGTCCACTTGTCATGGACCGAGATGGCGTTAGATCCGGTATTCTCTTATTGTTAATATTATTATTGTTTCGAAATTCTGAATGAGAAGATTTGTCCATATTTGGTAAATTCAGCCGAGGTGGTAACGCAGGGTCCCTTGAAGCACAATCACTCATATCGGACATTCCAAAATTAAACATGTTCTGATTTGGAGGTCCATTGGACATCTGTCGAGAGTGTGGTCTACTGTTTCTCAAATCCACTCCCAGCATATTCATGGTAGGACCTTGATGAGGATTCTGATTATCCTGTGAATTAGGTTGTCCTGGTGGCTGCAATGGTAGCGAGGGGTAAAATGGATTGTGGCCATGCGAAGGTAGACCAGGGTTATTCACGGAACTTGATGACGAAGACACTACTGAGGATGCAGAAGTCAGGCTAAAGCTGAAGGGTGTGGAAGAGCTCGACATGCCGTCAGCTAAACTGTTAGAATGAGTAGTTGATGTCAAATTCATACCAATACTTGTGAAGTTGAAGCTTTCTGACGAATCTGGCTGAGGTCTTCCATAGCAGTTGTTGAGTTGAGAGTTGTCTTGCGATTGTCGTCCATCGTTGCTTCGGCTTGGACTGGATTGAACAAAATTATCAGCAGAGTAAATACTATTTCTAGATCTTTGAGATGGTGCATCAGAATTAGATCCAGAGCTGTTCCTCGAAGGTGGCTTAACAGGGGATGTTTCAATGTGAGAAAGTTTAGGGATGGATGCAATAGGTGAAGGGAACAATGGTTCATTATTGGTGCAAGGAAGTTCCGGAGGTGGGAAGATAGGAGAAGCATCAGGAACTCTAGACATACTGTTCATTGGACCGAATCCATGACCACCTCTGTTGTTTCCCAAGTTTATGTTTGGCGGTGATACAATACTTTGGTCTTGATTTAATCCATCCTGCATGGTTCCCATTGTGACGTTCGGTGGTGAGATGATGTCTGTGTTCTGATTGGGTCTGTTTGGTGGATTCATATCTCTAGAGGATGTTCCCATTGTGACATTGGGTGGAGACACAATGCTCTGATTTGGCTGTTCCAAGCTGTTCCTCATGTTCATGGTGCTAGGTGACATCAGACTGTGAGCTGGAGAATGATGGGCAGGAGATTTGTGTTGTGAGAAGCCATCTTGGGAAGGTACCATTGACGATTGTCTTTGGGTTGTTGGCATATGGGACAACGGCACAGTGGTCTGAGACTGATTTGAAGGTTGGTGCTGGGGTGAAGGATGCATAGCATGAGGAGATTGAGTCGGCTTTGAGGAATTCTGAGATTGGGATGGAGATTGATAAGGAGGAGTCTTGTGTTTATGGTGATCATTTCTTTGAGGCTGATGCATCAATGGCGGCGGTTCCATTTGATGTCTGCTTGGAACTGCTGGAGGTTTGGACACCACTTCATCCTTTTGAGTCTGACCTGGTGTTTTATTTGGTGGGGGTGGAGGTGGAAGAGCAGGTTCTGGCTCAGGAACACTTTTGACAGGTTCCGGAAAGGTACAGGGTACAGACACAGGCGGTGGGGTGGGGTCTTTCAGCACTGTTGGCGCCGAGGTGGTGACAGGAGTCAACTCTTCCAAAGGTTCTAACATTTTGACCATTGATGAAGGAACTAAATCATTCGGCTGGCTGAGATCTACATTTTGGGATTGAAGTAGATTGTCTAAGCTTTGTTCTATGGCTAAGGCTTGTTGTTCTGGGGTGGGTGAAAGAGGGACCTTCTCCAAGGGTGCAGGCTCCTCTTCTTGTTCTTTGGCTTCTTTTGACTTCTTCTTTTTGCTAGATTTTGATTTGGTTCTGGGGGATTTGGTAGTTTTGTTATTGTTGTCTGACTTCATGTTTAGAGTTTGAGACAAAACACTGTCCAACATGTCAAAATTATGGGATATAGAATTTGTGTCTTTGGATCCCTTTTGGTTCTCATTGTTAGATTTGGATGTATTGAGGGATCCCAGAACACTTTTTCGAACAGGAGATACTTCTGGTGGACTATCATCTTGAAAATCGTAAATGGACATCCGTGACTCAGCTGCTTGCGACACAGGAGTCGCAAGTTCCGGAAGATTTTGACCAGAATTTCCTTTCTCTTTCCCACTTTTCTTTCGCTTCTTGCTTGCAGGTAAATCAGAATCTTCAGATTTCGATTTCTTTTTACTTGCTTTCTTTGGCGGCGTTTCTGCAAAAGATGAATCTAGTTTCTCAACTTGGTCTAAGACATCAGAGAGTTGCGATTCTGAAAAGGTGATTTCTTCCGGGATATCAAAAACTGGACCATTTAAGGTAGGGGTATGAAGAGCTGAATTATCGTCACTCATGGCTTCCTGTCGTTTTTTCTTCTTGCTGGATTTCTTATTCAGTTTTGGGGTGTCCAAGGAGTCTTGTGGACTCTTCTGAGACTTCTGTTTTGATTTTTTACTCGGCGGAGTTTCGCAAGCGGCTGCTGCTTGCTGAACTTCTTCTTCTGTTGGGATATTGATTGATAAAGCATCATCAGGAGACTGAAAAGACATGAAAAATCACATGAATCATTGGTTATACTCAGAATATTTAGAAATATGCTCTATCGACGAATTGAAATTTACGTATCAATCAGCAAAAAAGAAAGTATTTTCCCTGAATCTTAAGTCAATTTCTAAGCTAATAACAGGGATGACATTTGCATAAACAGAATCCACAAAACCTAATCTAAGCTACCAACAATGTAAAAATTTTAACCCTGGACTGTGACATAAGCTTGTTTTTTTTTTAATTCTAACTATAGAGAAATCAAAAACTGGCAGAACCCACACAGAGCCATATCTAATAAGACAGAATATCAAAACAGAAATCATAAGCAGTACCTTCAATATGGAATCCATATTAATGGAAGTGATGTCATCAGCTTTACCCTTTGGCGTGGATTCTGGAGTCTTCAAACTCTTTTGGGGAGATGCACTTCCATCATCTTCAGTATCCCCAGCACTGGTGTCAATCCGCAGTGGATTGTCTTCATTGGCTGGATTATAAAAACCCACAACCTCTTCAGCAGCTTTAGCAAGGATGTCAGTCATAGCAACAGAGTCTTCAGTACTCAATCCATGCTCCAAGATATTGCTTGCAGTACCAGCCACAGTTGTCTCTTGGGCACATTCAGTTACCATCATCTCAGTTTCTGATACTGCTGGAGTTTGATTCTCTGGCGGAGGCGAGGATTTAGTTTTGGACTTCTTTGCTGATGGTTGCTTGGGAATAATCTTCTTCTTCCCTGCTGATTTTTTAGCATTCGGAATCGGGGCAGCAGTTGTGGTCGTAGTTGCCGTGGTGAGAGAGGCTTGAGTTGCAGGAGATGTGGCGTTTGGTTGAGGAGGTGGAACTCTTCCCAAGACCTGCATCGTTACTGGATCCACCAGAACACTCATCTGCTGTCCATCAATAGGTAAAGTCAACAATATAGATCCATTGGGACCAATAGCTGGACCAGGAGCTCCCATTCCAGGGTTTAATGCAGGTGGGGGAGCTTGAGGATTGCCAAGGGCTTTTGGATCTGGTACAACTGCTCTGATACCAGCTTGGACGGGATTTCGTGGTAACATGGTGGCATCTGTGGTTTGCTGAACAGAACCATCAACCTTTGGAGCACCAGAATTTTGAATTTGTGGCGTCATAATGCTTTGTGTAGCTGAGGTAGCCATGACGGTGTTGCTCATGGTGGGTGCTGAAGTGGTTATAGCCTGTGGTGGTTGTTGGCTGTTCAGTTGATCAGGAAACATCATGTTTGGTTGCTGCATCTGAGCTTGAGATCCAATCGGGAATCCTTGAGGACCCATCAACAACTGGTTGTTCATATCCATACTGGGCATGTTTCCAATGACCCCATTGGGCTGCACAACCATGCCCCCTTGTTGGAGAGGCATTTGAACACTTGTATTATTTGTGACAACATTGGGCTGACTGTTCATCAGTGTCTGGGCATTCTGAACAACTGGTATTACCTGACCATTTGGCAGAATTAAAGCAGACGGCAACTGGTTCTGTTGATTCTGCATTGCATTCAGAGTCAGCATATTACCGTTCTGATTGGCTGGGAGAATTATTCCAGAATTTTGATTGGCTACACCATTATTAGAAGGCATCTGAACAAACTGTTGTTGGAACACATTCTGGTTTCCAGGAAGTGACACTTGTTGTTGACCCTGCATGGGTAAAGTCTGCATCATATTGGGTTGCAACATTGTATTTTGGGGCATCATATTCATAGGATTCTGTTGGGGTTGGATTATGTTCACAGGGCCTTGAGAAGTCATTACTGTCATATTCATCTGTTCTTGTAAATTGTTATTTATCACAGGGCCTGGTTGTTGTCCTGCAGACCCCTTCTTCAGATTCTTGTCCTTTTTTCCCCCTTTCTGTATAGTCATGTTCTGCTGTTGTTCTGGAGGTACCACATTTGTGACGCCTGCCATTACAGGGACGCCTTGTTCATTCACCATTATCAACTGTCCTTGTGGATTCATGAACATATTTCCTAACCCCATATTGGGCATGTTTGGCATTAAAATATTTTGATTTGGATTCAACGCCATGTTCTGCATGTTGACCATCATGTTGCCTTGGTTGGGTATTTGAGGTACACCAGTCTGCCCCACGGACATGATTGGAGGGGCTGCGGAGGTGACAGAAGTCACTGAGCTAGCACTATTCACAGAATTAGGGACTTGTCCAATATTAGCCACATTTGGCACTGAGCCTGGCACTGTCATTGTGTTAATTGAAGAGGTCACGGTTAAGTTTTCCTGTGCGCTATTGATAATCGACATTGAAGATGTCACATCCATTTGAGAATCTGCTGTGGTCATACTCTGAGCTGTCGTAGCCTTTGATAGATTAGGCTGACTCGAGGGCACAGACGTCAGCACAGCATTTTGAGGATTTGAAGCCACAGATGCAAGAGTCTGTAACGCATGATTGGGATCGTCCATCGCAGATGAAGTTGTCGTCAAATCGCGAGAAGCAGACGTATTGTCAGGACTGGGTTGTCGCGAGAATTCGCTTATCCCCGCATCCTGCATGGCCATTTGTAACAATCCTAAACCAGTGGGACTTTTATCCATCATTAAATTTTGATTGTTTGTCAGTTGATTCATGGGCACCACAACTTGTCCATTAGGGGTCATCAACACTTGATTGCCATTCGGAAAGGGGCTGTTCACCATCATATTTTGATTCTGTACACCACTGAACATCCCTTGGAACATATTTCCTAAAGATTGTGCAGCTTCTTCTGCTTTCTTAGCTTCTAATTGCGAGCTAACTACATTCTTTCTTTTGGATTTCCCTTTAGTTTTATCATCCTCTTTCGGACTCAAGCTTTCCATGACTTCACCATTAGGAAGGCCAGCTGAAGACTGGAGTCTGGCTGCCTTCCATTGAGAATCAACCAATAAACCTACAAATATAAAAAAGTCATTTACAAAAAGATATTCAACATGTGTACCAGATTGAAACTTGTCCATTGGATTCCCTTTGGAAGCAATCATCTAACTTTCTAAGCCATGTCCATTCAATTATTTACAGAAATGAGGCATTATTCTCTAAAGATATATCCAGGTTTTAAGAAATACAGAAATCTGATTGGATGATTAAACTGAATTAAAAATCAATTAGTGTGATTAACCAATCAGAGAACTGGAAAGCATCATCACTTAAGTTTTCAAGAATAAGACCCCTTGGGAAGAAATCTTCTGCAAATTCCCTTTCCCTAATTACTATTCAAGCAGTTAGGTAATCTATTTCAAAATAACAATCAAAATACTCCTACCATTATGTTTGATAATCTGTGAGTAATTATCTCTTTCTAGTTTCACCTCTTCTAATTCTTTCTTTAATTTAGCGATCTCATCAGCTGAAAGAAAAATTTTCACAGGTTAAGTGAGGTATACATTTTGACAGATAAAGATAATTCTTGCTTACCCTATAATGCGCCAGTAAAGATGGGAAATTGTATGCAATGTGCAATGAGCAGAATTTCGCCAGGCCTGGACAGAAGTAAAAGCAAACTTTCAATTTCCAACTGAGAAGAGGTCTCAAATGTGCACAGCCTGTACCAGAAGAGGCTTTGGTTCATGGGCCCATTTCAAAGGCTATGCACTTTTCCATATGAGTAAATCCAATCAATATCATCTGAAGATTTCATGAATATCGCAGCTGATTTTGAAAAATAGAATATGGAAATGAGATACCTTGACATCCAACATATGGTAAATCCATCAGAAGCATGGATGTAAGTTCACGATGATGAAAACAACAATTCATGGAAAATTGGATTGGAATTTGAACCCCTAAGCGAATTTGACTTACCTTGGACCTGGTCTATTTTATCAGATAATAACAGTTCATTTTTCTCTTTAATTTCAGTGATATATCTGGCTGCTCTCTCCATAGTTTCTATCGTACTCTAAAATAAAATGATTGGAGTTTTACATCCTACTTTTCTTCACCTAATAGAGACGTTCATACACTAAAAAGGATCCCCTTTCACTCATTCCCTGAGTCCCTTGCTTTGCATATTTGAATAATTTTATTGTAAATTTCTCCTGAGGTAAGTAGTTTCTTATCAAATCTAAGCTTATTGTATCTACTTCTGAGCTAGGCCCCTGACATTTCAACCAAAAGGCTCCAAGCACTTACCACTTTCTCTGTAGTGTGAGGAAGGGGAGGTAATAAACTCCCAATGTGAACAATCCATTTCTTAATTTTCTCTTTTCTCTTTCTTTCTACATTATTATGAGATAATCTTTTATTGCTGAAATATATACATTTATGAAATTAAACTCTGGAACTTTGGAATACAAAATGAACTTTAATCAGCCACCATGAGAAGACTCCCTTAAACACAAGCTGTGGTATAACTCAAGGAATACAAGGTTGGTCGGATGGAACGAAAAATAAGGGCCTCCTGTGTTACAGATATAATTGGAAATAAAAAAGGGAAGCGAAAAGCAGCTATCCATGCCAAATTGCCCTCATTGCACACTGCATGGGGCAATGAATACAAGACATCTGATCTATAACTTACTCATTATTATCAGGAGTGGTATTGGCAGGCCACACCTGTGGATTATCTTCTGGTGTACCATTCATGATTCCACCATTACTAATATACATAGCATTTTCATTATTCTCTAGAAATACAGAATAAAATACCTAATATGTCAACTGAACTGGATTCTTATTCTAGTCAACATTTCTCCAAAACTTTTATGACCAATTTGTGTCATAAGTGTTAGATTTTGCATTGAAAAACAGCAGGCTTTTAGACACAAATTGGTCATAAGATTTTTTAAGAAACAAGGGTCTGTTTTACAATAAATACTTTTATGGATTTAAATGTGTTGGCTCAACTGTACTGGATTCTTAATTCTGGTACCCATTTCCCAAAATGTTTTATGACCAATTTGTGTCATAAGAATTTTTCAAAAAGTGACAATGTGAACAGGATGACACATCAAAACTCATGGTACTTACTGCTAATCCAATTTATTTGGCAAGATGAGAAAAGCATGACAATTTGCAAGATATGGCAACTGCCAAATGCCAAGTAAAATATGAATCATAAACTTATATGCATCTGCAAATCTGTAAATTATGAATCATATTCATTCCATCCCATGTCATTTCGTCAAGTAATGTTTCAGTATGGTTGTTGATTTAAATAGAAACTCTTTGTAACAAACAAACAAACATCCATTTTCATTATCAATATCACTTTCAAATTAATTGTAGCCTTTAATCACTATTTTATTTTTTAAAAATCAACAAATGTAACTACTTCTTAGGCCCTATTCTGACAAAGTAACATTCAAAACTATCTCAAATAATTATAATTCAGTAAATGTTAATGTAATAAAGTTTTTGAAATCCAAGCCTTAGAAACCGTCTAAAGATATCATATGTCATTAGAAAAGGAACAAGTTTTAAAAAAATAGAAAAAATCTGTGCCAATAAACACTCCTGTTTTTTGTTTACAAAATTATTCATCATTCTCTTCTGCGATCTCAACCTATTATTAGCAAAATGTTTCTTAATTTGGGACGAACAGAGCTCCACGACTGTGAAGAAAAATGAAAAGGCTTCAAATTAAATATTCTTTACAAAAAATGAAATAGTTTTTGTTGACAGGTAAAGACTTCAACAAATCAAAAATAGGTCAACACCAATCAAGGTCGGCTCACAAAATGGCCTTAAATTATTCTTATATCGGGCTACTCACCGTGATTAAACTGTCCTGTGTCGTCTGGGGTATCTCCGGTACATTTCGATAATCCGGTAGTTCTTGACTTATTCGCCATTCTTCCATAATTAACGAATAATTAGATAAAGAATACATTTCTTCTTAGTAGCCGCCATTTTCTCGACTAAACATGCATATTCAACACAGCCTCGTTTTGAAATTCGGGGAATACCTTCTGGAGGGAATTCCCTTCTATTTATAGACTTGATTGTAACAAGAGCACCTGCCAATTTCACCCTTGTCTTTGTTCTTTGATTAAGTCACGCCTGTGATACAGTCGTAATATTGCAAATGTCAACGCACACTGCAACGAGATGGATAGAGGGTTAAATTTGACCTAAAACTTATTTATCGACCACAGAGAGATAGAAAAGCGTAATGATACGATGGCTATAGCTTACTCAGGACCAAAAGTAACTGTAAAGTGTAAACTATTTTGATGGACCCAGTCTGATGCTTACTGTTAAATTATCGTTGCCCCTGGTTATTTTTCTTTTTGAAGAGTCCGACATCTGTGGGAAAACTAGCCCTTTGAAAATGTCATTGATTAAAAATTAAGAAGCTCTGACATCAAATCAGGAGTACTGGTCAGGCTACGGGCCTGGTTCTACTTGAACCAATGAAAGGTCGACCTTGCATCTGAGAGCACGTGAATTTTCAACTACTGGTAAGAATTGATACCATCAACCAGACCCCCCCCCCCCCCTTTTTTTTTTTAGACGATGAAAATCTTGATCGTACGTAGGTGCTAGTGGTCTTTGTTTTTTTTTTTATCCGAACCACATGAACCCATATTAAGGCACTACATCGAAAGAGTGAAAAAAAAAAAAAAAAAACAACATTAGTGATGTAGGTTTTAATGTTACAAATAATTAGACACAATTCGTCTTTTAAACAATTTCACACCATTTTGATGGGATATGAAATATAATCCCTTTCCATACGTCTTACACACACTTCCATTCAGGGTGTACTGCAAACATGTCGGGTCTTTTGAGCACTGCACAGCGCACTCTGTTCTCTTCAGGATATAGGAGACATTAAGTGGTGCTAGGTACATCATAGCATTCGCTTCTTCCAACTTGAAGTAATTGTCCAACGTGCTGTTTCTTTCTGAAAAGTTGAATGTCTTATGATTAAAATGAAGTTTTACGTCTTGGGAGGGGGGGGGGGGGGGTGGATTAAAAAAAGAGCTTATGCAATCTCTTCACGGGTTCGATGGTAAATGGAGCAGATTATGGAAACGATAGAATATCGAAAAGTACGAACGGTAGGGTCTGATGCAAACCATGAAATTTAAGCTATCATGAAATATTAAAGCTACCATGAACTATAAAAAGATATTATGGTATATCAAAGCTTCAATGATACACTAAAAGCTATTAAAGCTACATGAAATATTAAAGCTACCATGAAATATTAAAGTCACCATGAAATGGAATATTAAAGCCAACATGAAATATTAAAGCTATCATGAAATCTCCAAGAAACCATAAAATATTTCAGCTGCCATGAACTATTAAAGCAAATGAAATTGAAAACCATATTCGCTTACTTTTCTTTTGACATACATAAGGTCTTGGCTTTTGATTGTCCTCTTCCTTATCTGGTGCATGAAGTTCAAAACAGTTTTCTTTTCTGTCGGCTCTGTGACCATGAACTAGATTCCCGCTTTCCTTATTGTCCCATTTGTATCTAGGCAATCCATCGCCGTTTATCCAAAGATATATGTTACTCTCTACTTCTATCAGGCCAACCCACACGTTTTCACTATTACTGTATTAAAAAAGGTAGTTTTACTTTCATCAATATACCATACAAATCAATTCGGCAAATAGGTGTATAAAAGTGCGACCTCAATAGAATGCTTAGACCACAATAATTTGTTATGACGAATCTGATTGGTCGATAACGAAGTCCTCGAAAAATTATTGTCAGTAATACGGACTATATATGAACCAGACACCACATTCAAATTACATAGTTTCGATGCCTTATGGAGATGCACCTTTCCTTTAAAGTAGGTAATCCACGTTTTGCACAGGTCGTAACTACACCAAGGCATATACCTCATGTCGATTTTGATTTTGGTTAAAAAAATTAAAAATATGAAATCTGCTTAATATATCGTTTATTTGATGTGTACGGTAAATGTAGTTACCGTTTGAAATCTTCTGAATACCATGCGATGAAATATATAACTATCTTCAAAGGCACTAGGATTTTAGCCTCATTAAAAAGATACCCTATTTAGGACCCTGTTAAGCAAACTAAAATTTCAGTCTAATTAGAATTAGCTGGTTCCAATTTTAATTAGACTGACTAAAATTTGAATAGCTTACGACGTTGCTTGTTTCAGTCCGTCTCTCTGTTCTGTAGTTTTGATAATCGGCAGATGTTGACCAAGTTTGGAACATTCTTCGGATGCATTATAAAACGTTTCGGCTTTACTAGTTATCGTATATTTACCTAAAACTAAAAGATGAATGGCCGTGAATGGACATAGATACTTATTAGGCATCGTCGAGCTCTGCAATTCTGCTCTTTATTCTAATCGGATCGATGAGGCTTAGTCTCTTCGCCGGAGAGGGTAGACACTTTATTGGTAAAAGCAGGGGTCATCGAGTTCAAAAGGCTACTTTGACGAACGTTCGCTAGACCCCATCGTATCACAAATACGGATTTTGACGTGGTCTTATTTACCATGTAAGTATTAACGAGGAAGTATGACGAATGGGGGTGTTGTTTGTTTTTTAGACCCTAACTGACGTGGCTTTATTAAAAATAAAAGCTAATAAATAACGGAACGAAGGTTTATAAGACTGTTGTTACAGTAACCTTCACGGTAGACCGCCCGGCTTGGAGCAACGGGAGTGTGGCCAGAAGGAGTTACGTTCTTGCTCAAGAGATCAACATGTACATACCTGGGTCGTAGCAAGCTACTGTTCTTGTCTCTGTACAGATTTCTGTCGACAATTTGCCCTCATTGGTATCCATATATGCACATTGAATTTGGTTATTGTCGGACGGTTCATCGGACTTCCAACATGGCTGCTTCTCCAATGGACTGTTATCGTCGACCCAGGCATAGTTTTGTTCACCAGTTTCAATTTGTTTCAACCCCACCCAAATATCTTTTTCTTGTCCACTGAAACAATTAATATGCCAACTTAACATTACCAGATCCAAGTTATTTAGTCAGCGATGATTGATGTATGATGATGATGATGATGATGGGTGATGATATTCACAACAATGGATGATTGATGGTGATGATTGCTGATGATATTGATTGATTGATCGAATGAACGAACGATAGAATGAATGCATGAGGCTCCTCCCCCCCCCCCCCCAGTTTCAGATTGCTATCATCGAGATCTTTAATGTCTGGTTCTGTGAGCTCACACAAACTAACAATTCTGCCGTCCCGATTTGGTCACGATTCGTCCCCTATTTAATAATTCTTGAAAACGCCACTATTTTCAGTTTTCGTTGATTCGTGAACAATCTAGGAATTTTTACTTTTAGATTTAATCATTTTGAAACAAAACTCACTGTACACCATCGCTCAATATTGGTAACCAGTTTAAGAATTCGTCATAATCTTCACTCGTATGGAGAGTCAGAATTTCTTTCCCATCACTTTCACAATTCGTCACTGCTGTTTCATATGGGACTTTTGTTTTGGTTACTAAATTATATCGTCCTAGAATAAAAAAAAAAGGAAAGGAGTTTTACGCTGTCTGGTGGGCTAATGAAATGGAGTTTAAAGACGGGTTTCCTTTTTTTAGTATCAAATTAAGCAAACTATTTGATTAATTGGTGTTTCTAATGAATTATCATGTATTCTTAATCATAACATTATATTCTTATAGCATATAATTAAGAGTTTTAACCAATCATAAATGTCCATGTATATACAATCTGGATGAACAAAAAAATACTTGTACCCTTCTTGATCGGTCACTCATTGGATTTCTGCTGATAATTCTCTTCTAATTTAGCTAATTATGAATTAATAATTGACATGTGAGACAAACTGGTAATTTTCCAAGTCATTAGAACAGCTCTACTTTCTATTCATATAATTATTAGCATTTTCATTTTTTTAAATGAAAATAAGGGAACCAATTTAAATCCTGTTATTCTCTACCCTTTTGGTCTAATGAAACTTATATTATGTACCCTGATTGCAATTAGCCATCTGTATTGTATTACGGAAAGCAGCTATTTGATTGGATTGTACGATACCGAATACAGCCATTCAGAGCTCTCAACAGAAAAATTGTAAACATTATGTCACATCGGGATTATGATTGGCTGTAGTCGCTGGCGTGTCATCCAATCAAATCGTTGACCGTGATACAAAAAAGGTGCCTATTGCTGTCAAGGTATGAAACGGATTTCGTAATAGTTTGACATTGAGAAGATTGTAAAAGATACATTTGGATGTTTCTGTTGGTGTTTTTTCTGGGAATTCGCTCTTAGAAAAACACAAAACGAAACAATGACTTAAATGCACACCTGATTGATCCGTCTCAAAGATTCAAGCGATTCTTTGCCAAGTCAATATTCTGTTGTTTTGTTTAATAGTGCATTAAGCGCTTCGTGATATATTGAAGATTTATGTCGAGATTTTCTTCAAGTTATATTGAAAAAATTAAGTGCTTCGACCAATCGTTTGTATTTGTTCAAATAACTGTAACTTGGTCGTTTTACAATGGTTTTAGTTGTATCAATATTTTGCTAATACTTCCAATTGTATGATATGGGGTTGTAGCCAAACATATTCGACGACGATCGGGTTATGCCCGATGTATATCTTTTAACGCGTAGGAAGGATGTCATCTTGTATTCTCCGTTGCAAGGTTCAATCGGGATTCAAACAGGACAGCTTGGATAAGTTTGGAAAGAAGATTCATCTTAGGTTGTTTAGTGGGGTACATGTAACGATGCTTAAAAAGGTTTTAGTAGGGTTTATATTGGGTTGTTTAACAGGTTTTATATTGGGTTGTTCAACAGGGTTTTAATGGGTTTTATATTGGGATGCTTAAAAAGGTTTTAGTAGGGTTTATATTGGGTTGTTTAACAGGTTTTATATTGGGTTGTTCAACAGGGTTTTAATTGGTTTTATATTGGGATGCTTTAAAAGGTTTTAGTAGGGTTTATATTGGGTTATTTAACAGGTTTTATATTGGGTTGTTTAACAGGGTTTATATTGGGTTGTTTAACATGGTTTATATTGGGTTGTTTAATATGTTTTTTTATTGGAATGTTTAACAGGGGTTTAGTAGAGTTTATATTGGGTTGTTTAACAGAATTTATATTGGGCTTTATATTGGGTTGTTTAACAGGTTTTATATTGGGTTGTTTAACAGGTTTTATGTTGGGCTGTTTAACAGGGTTTTAGTAGAGCTTATATTGGGTTGTTTAAAAGGGTTTTAGTGGGGTTTATATTCGGTTGTTTAATTTTAGCACGATTCGTGTGAAGGTCTATCTAAGAAATTCTATATAATTAACTTACCAGTATCTACTGCGTTTGAAAACTGTATCCCCAAAACGACGATAAACCACAAAATATTGGAGTCCATCTGAAACTACTCAAGTAAATGTAAAATATTTTAATTACCTTATTGTACACTTATGATAGACAACAAATATCCAAGATTACTGTAGTCTCCAGCCCAAGCACAATCCGAGTTAAAATGAGCAAACATAGGTTTAGTTGGATTGAAAAAGGACAATTCGTCGTTTGAAAAGTGAAGCATTTCCATTCATTGCGCGACGACCTTGTCCACACAGTTACTGTTTATTTATTATTCATTTGATTAACAAATATTTCTTTTCGTGTTTTATTCGTATTGTGGAGACAAAATATTTATTTTTGTAAAAATAAAAGATATTCGTTGACCACAGATGGCCCTCTGTCCACCTCTGCAATATAATCAGATTGCCAGAAGCAATTAATTTTACGATCTAATCTTGTTTTCAAGATATTTAAAAAAAAAAATGAAGCACTCACCTTTTTAAACTTTGCCGTTAAGTGACCGCAGCTAATAGACACCAATTCCTGATATGACTATACCTTCTTACGAGACAGTGAAAGATTCTTCCTTATTTAACCTCAGTGAGCCCACGACGTGTTGTCTCATAATGGAACTTCGCGAGTCAAACCCAGGAATCAATTAAAAGACAAGGAAAGACGATAAATTCATTCAAATAGTCATGCCTTTTTTATTTAGTTATTTACTTAGTCGTGATCGCATAACGATTTTTCTAAACGCTTCTAGGCTAAAGATTACGAAAACAATGGTTTGAGCCGACAATGTGCATTCAGCTTATTGGGTACAGCAGGGGTGTTCAACCTGGGGGAAATATGGGGGGGGGGGGGGGGGGTTCATTAGATCAAGGATCCTGAAATGGGGTTAGAGGGTAGAGAGTAGAGGGGGAGCGGGTTATGGGGATTGTGGTCCCCTTAAATAACATGGAATCGCTTAAATAAGAGGGGGTGAGGGGTAGGGGGCGTGGCTTTGTCTTCAATATCGGTGTTCAAGGTTCTACATAACCAAAAAAATAAAGTTTCCCTTTTGCCACAGATTTATTCAGACTTTGACTTTGCAAGATTGTAGACGAACGGGACGTTATGTTAAAAAGTGGAGGGCTTATACCAATTGGTTGTCTGTATCCAATACTCGCGACTCACCCTTATCGACGGGAGATAACTCCATAATTTAAATTTACAACTGTGAACGAAGTGTTTGATATTGCATATAGTTTCTCCTATTATTAGTGTCAAAATGTCTATTTCAAAGCGAGAGTTCCACAATCGATTTCCATATACAAACGTAGAGAGAATCAAATTAGTAGAAGACAATGGCAAGGTAGGATGAACATTGCATTTTGATCTAAGCTAATTTTCACATCTTGCTACAGACTACATTTGAGTTAACTTTCAGTGTCAAACGTAAAATACAGACCCATTGCAATATTCGTTAACAAAGGCGATAGAGCTCCATGGCTTTGAATTCTCTTATTTTAATTCTTATGCCACGTTCAGTGCTTTTGAGAGTCGACCCAATGTCAGCATTTAAAGCCGAGTTTTCACCCCAAGCCCTAATTCAAAACCTGTCTTGTTTGTTTTTTGGTGTGAATTAATTTGTCTTTTGATGATGTCACTGCTTTTTAAGTATTTTGTAAAATCTGAATTTGTCTATTAAATAGCTTGGAGAAGATATAAGCAAAGAAATCAAACAGATAATAGAGAAATTGTTAGAAGAGATGTATAAAGGATTAAAATCAACCAGAAGTGAAGATGATTCTATTTACACAGGCTCATCTGGTAAGAATCTACCAATTTTGCTAGACGAGTAAGAGCTACAAAGTGGCTAAGTTGTCTAGATGGAACAATAAACCCAGCCCACATGCACTACAGGCTGTGTGTACACGTAAAATATCCTTGTTAGAATAGTGTATTCCTGTTTAAATTGCCCTCATTGCACACTGCATAAGATAGAAATTCGTCATTATTTCAAGACTAAAAATTAAGATGTAATACTCTGTTTTCATCAGGGTTTTTTTTGTCATATTTTTATTGATTTTATATTATATGGAATTAAGCCAATTAATTTACATTCCCCTTCATTTTATTTTTAAATATTTTTAAGAAATTTGATAAAAAGATTATTTTAATTTTATATTTCAGGTATAAGCCTCTTGAATCTACATCTGTATAAAACACTGGGTGAAGAGAAGGAGGAGAAATATTTACACACTGCCCTACAGTTTCTAGAGAAACCCCTTCAACACCTGAAAAACAAACGTTATACATTTCTATGTGGGGATGCAGGGCCGTTAGCCCTAGGGGCTGTCATATATCATAAGCTGAAAGATGACAGCATGTCAAAAGAATGCATTAAAAGGTAACAGAAATCTTTGTTACGGCTAACAACACTGGACTCAATAATTATACTATACTATTTTTATATGACCACATCTTTCTATAAGGACGAATATTGTTGGCACCCCTGTCCGTCGGTCTGCCCGTCAACATTTGCTTGTAAACGCTTTAAAAACTAGATTTTTTTGATGGAATCAAATGAAATTCGATATGTGTATACATATTCATAAAAGGAAGATCAAGTTTGAATTTGAGATATTTTCGACCGTTAGAAGCAGAGTTATTGCCCTTGCCCCAAAATCTTGAATATTTACCATCCGCATGCCATGGTGGGCGTATATGGCTGTGGTCCACTATCTTTATTGTGGTAGTTATTACTGTTGAATTTCAGACTAGAAGATCTATATTATCCAGTATGTAAAGATTATGATATACCTAATGAGTTACTGTATGGTCGTGTAGGATATATATACTCTCTGTTATTTATACAGAAACACCTTGGTCCAGAATCTATCACAAACACAATTATACCAAAGGTATGGACTTTCCCTTGTCTAGCAGGGGACATTGTATGCAAATCAATGGTATCCTGCTTGAGAACGAACCATGGGCAGGGCAGCAGAGCTTTCATAGAGTCCACATCACTGATATTATTTGTCAGACATTAATTATTTTCTTTTGTGTTTCTTTTTGAAAAAAATAATTATGATCGTTTTCTATTTTTACAGGTATTGAGGGTCATCATAGAAATGGGTAGGAAGGCAGCCGAGGAGGAGAAATCTCACACACCATTGGTATTTACCTGGCATGATAAACACTATCTTGGAGCTGCCCATGGTATGGTGGGCATCATATTCATGTTATTACAGGTAGGGCAAAGCTCCCTTTAGTCTCCAGCCTGTAGTTTTCAGGAATATAGATTATCTCCCTTTAGTCTTCAGGAATATAGGTTATCTCCCTTTAGTCTTCAGGGATATAGATTATCTCCCTTTAATCTTCAGGAATATAAATTATCCAACAATATTAATCATCACATGATATCAAGAGTGGAAATATTCAAAAACTGAAATAACCAGAACTTTTTCTGAGTAATTTTCAATTGAAATATCTTTATATAGGCACCTACTTCTGGGTTATAAAATATATATTTAAATTCTCTTCTTTCAAAGTCTCCTCAAATCATGGATTGTTATTGAATGTGTTTCAGCTAGATAAACAGCTACTCGAGCCGTATTTAACAGATATCAAATCTTGTATTGATCACCTACTGTCTATACAGCTACCATCTGGTAACTTCCCATCTTCTCTAGAAAATAAATCATCAGATAAACTGGTTCATTGGTGTCACGGAGCTCCTGGCTGGATTCACATGTTTCTTAAAGCACATGAGGTAAGAGTTATTGCCCTTGTATTTACAAATAATGATTTTCCTTAAAATTTGAAGGCTGATGGCTAATGCAGAGATCCTTGCAATATATCCCCTCATTGCAAACTGCATGGCTTTACCCAAAGATGTGCAGAACAGTAAGACTTTTCATTTCACTTCATTATTGGTCCAACCCTTAAAGGTGCATTTCAGTTAGTTTTCGTTGAAATATTGCCCCAGATTTATAAAAGATATGATTGTTTTAACTGCTGTCTGCCCAAGTTAAGAGATTCTTTGTAATTAACCCACCGTGAGTTACTGCTCTTGTTAAGATAATAGATATTGTATTGTAGTTATTTGGAGAGAAGGTATATCTACAGAAGGCTAAACAGTGTAGTGAAGTAATTTGGTTACGTGGGTTATTAAAGAAGGGCTATGGTTTATGTCATGGTATTGCTGGGAATGCGTATGGTTTTCTATCAATGTATAGAACCACTGGCGAAGAAAAACACTTATATCATGCTTATATGGTATGAACTTTACTTTTATTGAATTGTAAAGAAGTTTTCAAATGTGTATCAGAGCCAGCTTCTAGAAGATGTAGAGGTCCCTGATACACGTTTAATTTTTCTTCTTTACAAGCCCTTAAAAAATTTTGCAATACTATGTCAAACGGTACACATGAGTTGACAAGATAACGTTACTTGGTTAGTTAAGTTAGCTTTCTGTGGTCTGAATCCACTTTGAGAGTAAAGTAGACCTAATCAGAGTGTCTTATTAATTTAAATTGATATTTCAGTTTGCTACATGGTGTATGGAATATGGGAATCATGGGTGTAATACTCCAGATAGACCTTTCTCATTATTTGAAGGTAAGGAATAGCTGTCATCTTATAAGACAAGCTTTGAACTATAAAGATATTTTACTACAGATAGATGTGTTAATACTGTATATTTTGGAGTATAATGCACACTTTTTTTTACTCATAAAAATTGTATTAATTGATTAAAAATCATAATGGAATGATGCTGTCATCCAGTAAAATAACCCTACTTCCAATGATTTAGACTGGCATCACTTCCAGGATAATATTCTGTATTTTGTACATTTCAGGGATGGCTGGTACCATTTACTTTTTAGCTGATTTGTTACACCCTTTAGAAGCTAAATTTCCAGCTTTTGAGCTCTGAGAAATATAGGTTATACCAGAAAATCTTGCTTTTTCTCTAATCTGTGCTCTTGCTTCAGTAGTTTGTCTAGATGCTTTCAGAATGTGCATAATTTTCTATTAAAGGGATTGTGAAAAAAGTTTTCAAAACTTCTTACATAATATAAGCAGATTTTGGGATAGTGATGTCATCAAATGCTTAGTTTTAGTGAATTGCAGGAACCACAGACCCCTGACTGAAAATTGGTGAAGATGCATTGTTCCCAATACACATAAAAAACTTTAAAACACCTCTTTACAATCCCTTTAATTAGACATGTTATTAATTGTAATGTATTAAAAGAGCACCCTACGTTAACGCAAACAAAACCATATACATTAGGTTTTGTGAAATATAGGCAAGACAAGGTGAGGCGCTTCTTTTTCATATATCAATATTGTTTTTGTTATAAACCACGACTCATTTCATTTTTCCATTTTTAAACCACAAATATGGTCATGTCATTATCCTGAATTTCATGGGTTATTTTGAAAACATTTATTTTTTGGGGGATATATTGGTAAATGAAATGTTTAGGTATTGTTTTGTCAAATTAATTTTGGAATTTATTCAGTCTTTTTTTTTTATTTAAAGAGCATTTATTAGTTATATCAAAACAACTTCATTTTTCCTTCATTTACTTTAACTTGTTATATTTTTGTTTATTGCATAAACATTGTTTTAATATTTTAATATCTGAAATTTATTTATGTCAGCAGGAAACCATTTTATCATGCCTGCCTATTTGGACTCTGCACAGTAGTTTTACTACTTCTCTGAACCTGTTATGGCTAATTATGCATCATGCAATGAGGATAATTTATATCCCCTGGAGACTAAAGGGAGATAAATTATATTCCCTGAGACTAAAGGGAGATAATTTATATTCCCTGAGACTAAAGGGAGGTAATTTATATTCTAGGAGACTAAAGGGAGATAATTTATATTCCTGGAGACTAAAGGGAGGTAATTTATATTCCTGGAGACTAAAGGGGGTGATTTATATTCCTGGAGACTAAAGGGGGTAATTTATATTCCTGGAGACTAAAGGGAGGTAATTTATATTCCTGGAGACTAAAGGGAGGTAATTTATATTTCTGGAGACTAAAGGGGGGTAATTTATATTCCTGGAGACTAAAGGGAGGTAATTTATATTTCTGGAGACTAAAGGGGGCAATTTATATTCCTGGAGACTAAAGGGAGGTAATTTATATTCCTAAAGACTCAAGGGAGGCAATTTATATTCCTGGAGACTAAAGGGAGGTAATTTATATTCCTGGAGACTAAAGGGGGTAATTTATATTCCTAGAGAGTAAATGGAGACCACTCCTTTATTGGCTCTTATAAAACCATCACATCAAAGTTATGTTTTTCAAACATTTATTGCAGTGACTCCATTCTTACTTTCATGCCTGATAGAAGAAACTCCCTTCTTTTCTTCGCTCCACGATGTTCCAGCTGTTTTATCAGTTGCCGACCAGATCCAAGCGCCTTGATAGCCGTGGTTATAGGAGTAATGGTACATTTGAGTGGAGGACATGCCTTCACTTGCCTTGGCACTGAACTCACCAATTACCAGCGGTTTATCGAGTTTGTATTCACTAGCAGAATGCTGAAATTAGAGCGTAAATATCCCGGTACGATTGTTTGTGAACTTGACTACACTTAAAGGAATACTATCTCGTAGAATGGACATACAATTTAGATTCTAAAAATATGAGCACATTTTCATCAGTAGATATACCCGGTGTCATAGATATCCTTCTATTAACCAATAAATTCATAAAACAAATCAATTAATTTTCTAATAATTACGTTGGATTTATCGGATTGTTTAGTGATTCTGATGCATATTCATAACACAAGGTAAATTCGACAGTTGAATGAAATTGATAGAATTACCTACCTTGAAGGGCGAAAGAGAGTTAAAGTGGCCCTGCCATGTATAAGAGTGCCACTGATAGAAATCCAAAGTACCCTGAAATAAATTGAAATATACTTTTTACCTTGATGATTATTTTCACGATCTCAAGTTATTACAAACTGCGTCTAATACCTTGACTGCAATAGTCACTATTCTTGTATCCCTGAATGTAGTAATTTGATTGGATAGCTCTTTGATTTCATTCAGTCATATTAAAATGCCGGAAGAAAAGAACCTCATCCAAGATACCACAACGAAATCTACCATTCATTACCGATTCAGATTCGGCATACGGAAACTGCAGAGGATTGCCGAATTTCTAGGAAGAACAAGGACGATGATGCCTTACCTCTTTCTTGCCTCCAGCTTTAATCAGGCAATGATCTGAGAAATAATTTCTCCTGCCCATTTGGTCTGTGTTGATCATGACATTGGTTCCTATGGTTACCAGAGCTTTGGGATCGGCTTTCTTAATAGCTGCTGCGGCCCAGTTGAAAAATCTGAAAGAATTAAATGTGACCACGTTCTATAATCATCTCTACACCAAGAGTAACCCTCCACCCATACATTGCTCATTTTTATCTCCAAAATCTCGTAGCATGTGTCTGGAAACGGTTGATTAGGATTGTTGAAGGTATACAATTATTTTCGAAAAGAATTGAAGGTACACGCAGGAAATTCGCGGTTTCTCTCTAAACTGAATGCCAAAAGTCCCGACAGAATGGACTCAATCGCTTCTGAGGAGTGATTTGGACGAACTGTCGATCAATATCTTACCTTCCATATAATCTAAAAGGGAACATGCTCTTAGCCCAACCCCCAACACCCTTAATAGAGCTAAAACATGGCTCGGCTTCCGTGTGCTGGGTGTTAGCTAATCCTTCGGGTTCGTTCATCAAATCCCACCCACCAATAGCAGGGTCGTCTTTAAGAGCTGTTACCAATGGAACCAAAGCGTTGTCGATGAAGCTGTTGAGTTTGGTCTCGTCGTAGATGATACCTGCAAGTCTCTGGGTATACTGGTCGCTTTTTGCTGCATTCCATAAACACGGGAAGAGGAGAATATCATATTTTCGAGCTATAGCTGTCATTTCTTTAAAATCACTAATAAACGTATTTTTGTTGTCTAATTTGGTAACGTGTCCGGTTTGAGAAAATATTGGCACACTTTCTCCAGCAAAGAATACCCAAACTCCTGTAAATATAAGGCACTAGGTCATAATCCAAGAAAAATTAGAGACATCGTGTCCGAAACAACAGACACCATATAGAAATCGATATTATGTTGAAATGACTATCATACTGACGTCACTATCGCAAAAAACCGAGGTCACTTTCGCCAAAAACCGACGTCACTATCGCCAAAAACCGACGTCACTATCGACGAAAAAGGACGTCACTATCGCCAAAGAATGACGTCACTATCACAAAAAATGTTATCATTATCGCGGAAAAACGATGTCGCCATCGCTAGTGTATTTGCGCCATAATCAGGTCAGTGTGTCTGGAATTTCAGGAACCATAGCCATTGACACGGAAATCGGAATGGTACAGACAGAACTCTTAATTTCAAAGATACCTATTCATTATTTGTGACGCCTTTTTGTATCCGTATAATGCAGCAATATTAAGCATTCTTACTCATAGAATTTCCACCAGCATCGTGTAGTTCTTTCATGTATCTCTCCATTTCTGGTTTGGATCTTTGAAAATTTCCATTTCCATATTCCCAGCCATAGTGGATCCAAGCTAGATTGATTCCGGACAAAAATACGCGCTTTCCGTCTTTCATGAAATGTCCATTGGAAACGTACAATCGACCACCTTCAACTAAAAATAAAAAAGAAAACGGCCGTAAAACGTTAGAAGTTTTAAATGAATTTCAAAATTCTGAAAAGTACAAAAAGTATTTGAAAGTGTGCCTCAGTCCAAATTCATTTTGCGATGGTGGCGCCATAACACGAACCCCAGATATTTGAAGGAAAAAGGAACGATGAAATCAGTTTCAGGGTAGAGACAGAAAGTTTCATATTATGTGTTACAAAAGGAGTTCTTACCTGCCAAGGTCGTCAGGGCTGCGACAGCGAAAATTAATCTCAGAAAAACCATTTCTTTAGACTATTTGAAAACACAAGAAATCAACTGATCATTAGAAATAGAAATGGACCTTGCAGGGGCAATGGACAAGACAGGAAATGCAGGGTAGATATGGGTTAGGGTTGAAAGCCGACACCAGGACGACCGTGGCATTGGCCTTGGAATCACAAATTTCGTACTTCGAGGAGGGTTCAAACCGACGACACCTAATCTTCCAGCAGACGACAATCCAACGCGCTATCGATTGAATTATGCCGATGCCTTTCCAGACGACTAGCCAACTTACTACTGCCTTTGTTGCAGACGACAAGCCAACTTACTAACAATTGAGCTATGCCGCCTTTCTAGCAAACGCCAATACAACAGACTAACGATTGAACTATTGCCACTATTTGAAATTTTCTTGCAATGAAAAATGTTGGGTCTACCTACCTTCTCTGACAGCCAGTCGATTTGAATCTGTCTCAATCAGACCACCAAACTATATTCCAATCGTACTACATTATCTTAAGTTTTTAGATAATATATATCTATCGACTAATCTTATCTGAACTCTAATGGCGGTGCCATGTGTTAGACAGCACCCAATTAATTCAATATTTCTGCACCTAATCATCTAGCAGACGACAATCCCAAGTACCTACAGGGTTAGTATAAATACCATTGCTCATTTAGTGAGTTCACCTGAAGGTCCAGGGTTCAATACTTGTATAGGTTGAGATAATACCATCGGATTTTTCAGTGATGCAGGTTGGAGGGGGTTGACATGGAAAAGGCGTCTAGTCGTTTGGGTGGGATCCCGTGTGCAAGGCAAGGCACCTTTAAGATCTCTTGACAGTTGGAAATCCAAAAAGAGCAGGCTAATGTCACTGTTCTGCCACAATTACCCTTATTGTACACAGCATGGCGTGTCCCGTCGTCACGATCCATTTAGGTGCAGAAGAGAAGGACATAAAACTTTAAAAAAATTTAATAGAATTGTTTACTTTACATAAAAATTGTAGTACGACATTGCACATGATATTGGATGCTATGTTAAAATTCGAGAGCCCTTCACCCAATGTATGTGTCCTCATGTCCCTTGGGGATTAATTGAAAGAGACTGTAAAGAGATTTTCTGAACTAGCTTCTGTGTATTAGGGACCCTGCTAGCGTCGACATAAACCATTCCAATGTTATGACGTCAGTGGGTTCAATTGGAATCCTGCGTTTAAAAAACCTCTTTGCAATTCCTTCAACAAATTCAGAGCACCTTACGAATCGCGGTAGGTGTTGAGGGAGGGGGGGGGGTGGTTTGGACACGATGATTCCGGAGTAGCTTTATTGATGGTTCTAGACCTAACCTGTTATAGATACAGTTCCTGTGAGACACTCATCCTCTCATACAGTGGAACCCCGCCTCCAGAAACAGCATAGTCCAGGTTTCCAAAAGTACTGCAGATTGTTCCATCAACAGTATACTTCAAACAATGGGCATCGCGAGAACATACGGCAGCGCAATGAGCCCTCCCACGCACAATCACCTGAGATAGAGGCGATGCTAGAGTGTAGATGCTTCTTTCAACCAGTTTGAAATAATTATAGCCCCACAGACCGATATACTCTAAAAGAAAAAAATCGTTTAAATATAAATAGCTGTAATGTATAGTAATAAGCAGTAAGCAGTAAAGATAAGAGAGTTGCTTGTAAGTTACTGAGTTATTGCCCTTGTCAAGATGCACATACCAAAATCTCTGACCCATGCCAATAGTGTCAAAAGCCTAGTCCCAGATGTGATTAAAAGTGATATTCCGTGAAGTAATGCACAATTTAAATGCAACTTACTATTATATGTCTAAGGACAATTCCCTCTCAAAGTTCTCAAGGATGCAAGATGTATATAACAATGGTGAAATTCATTAAATCAAGACATATTTTGTAGAGTCATTGTCACAATGTCAAGCTGTTACGAACTAATAATAATTAGTCTAATACCTTGACATCAATAGACTCACAGAATGCAGTGATTTGATTCGATTGGCCGCTATTTAATACAACCAATCAGAGCCCTCGACATGAAGTATGTAAACAATATAGCTTAGTTACCGATTTTAAGTGGAAGGCATCGAATGGCTGTATTCACTAGCGAACAATCCAATCCAGTACATTGACAAACATCCATGATAAGAGAAAAGTGGCTATTGAAGTCAAGGTATTAGACACAGGTCGTATAGAGTGGCATTGTGAAGATGTGATTAGTCGAACAACCCTCGACCTTACCACAACTTACTGACAAAAAAATGAAGTCCACTTACCGTTCGTTTTCGTTGTTTTATTTTGACAGAAATAACGTCTAGACTCGGCATTTACTTTTCCATCTGAAGGTGCATGAAAAGTGAGATAGGTATGGACCGTCTTGTTAATATGAACATGGACTAAAGTACCCCTATCGCCATCAATCCAGTCATAGTATCCTAAATACTCCCCTGTAATCCACACAAACTGGTCTTTCTCTTCAATCAATCCTAACCAGAAATTTGTTTCGCTGAAAACAACAGTAAAGAAAGATTGTATATTTAACAGGTATCGCAAGCGTTTTTCCGCGGCGTTTCTACTAGGGATACCCTATACGCCATTTAACATGGGGAGGGGGGAAGGGGTTGCTTGGGGTTAATCTAATTAAGCTATAATTAATAATTGTAATCGAAGAACTTTTCTACTAAATACCTGTTTCAAAGATAATATTTTTAGCCAATCAAAGCGTTTCATGTTAAACCCGTTTCTTGATAAAATTTGGAATTGTGGGATAGCGAAACTAAAAGTAGAGAGATACGACAGACTAATTGAATGGGTTGGTGTATGATATTCCTATGTCTAAGAAGACTTCTTTAACTTTCAAACGCGGATAATTCTGGACACGCATAGATTTGAAGGCTCAAACACTATTACTGATTGGCTAATCTAAAAAATTCCCGTTTCTGATACTAAAATATGATTAGTCAAAAAGAATGGTGCACCTGTGTTTCGATAAGAGACGATTGCGATCAAAAGATGTAAGAATAACAGGTAAGCGGCCACCATCGTCTTTACATGTATTATAGGCTGTGAAGAAGTCTGTTGCAGTAGAGAATTGTGGTGGTGGGCCAAAAAGCTCTCCATCTTAAAAAAAAATGAAAAAAAATTAATTATTAGGCCAAAGTCTTGAGTGCCCTCAATCTTGGCTGGCAGTGTCCCCGGAAGTCATGAGACGTCACATTTAATTTACATGAATCGCGATGAAAATCACATTGAAAAAAGTGTACTACCTTTGTAAAAGCAGATGACATGTTTGTCATTTGAACAAAGTGTTGTGCGCCATTTCTGGTCCGAGCTAGCGTAAACACATCTCTGTCCAGTTTGAGATCTTGGTTCGGACATCGCCCAGTTTTGTATTCCAAGAATGTTTCCATTTAACCACTGATAGAAACCATAGTTGTTCCATCGTATTCCTAGCCACAAGTCTTTCCTGGAAATATTCAAATGTATCGTCTGAGAGAGTACTCTCCCAATAAAAATTTGAAAAATAGATTTGATTTGGTGCATTCCGACACATATTTTGTGACAAAAACGTATATTTGTTACTTTGGTGCAATGCGCACAATTCACTAAATAGCAAAATATGCTAATATTACAAGGCCTTTGCGATAAGTGACGTCATCAAATATTTAGTTTTAGTGGAATTGCAGGAACCACAAACGTGTAATAGAAAATTGGAATTGTGCAAATAGATGCTATCAGTGTCTCCGATACACATATAATCTTTAAAAACCCCTTTTATAATCCCTGCTTACTGATATTGTGTTGTTTGTAGAAATTCCCATAAATCATGGTACTCCTTTCGAGTTTCCACAACCGGAATTGTCATGTTGAAGAGCAGACATCTATCTCGAGCGTATTCGAAAGACCTTTTGGTAAAATCACCTATATACTGGAATTGATTACAAACTGAAAAAAAGAAGATTTTGATAAAGCCATTAGACCTACAGAGAATCCTCGATTGATATTCTTTTTTGCGTCAGACAAATTTTTTTTTGATCCAATGAAAACTGTTACATTAAAAATTTATTAAATCCACCAAGATTGTTCATAAAAAGAAAAGTCTCCAATGACAAAAAAGAAAAATTAAGAAATTAAATTCATTTTCATTTTTAAGGGGATTCAAAAAAGGTCTTCTTGGCCTTGTCTGTAATTCCTTATATAGCTCTATTTGTACTATTCCTATTTCAATTCTGACGTCATCGGTTCCTTATATCCTTCCAAAACTTGAGCACATTCTGACGTCACAATCGTATCAACCATTTGGACTGAATGACATCATCGTTTAATCTCATAAGCTACAAAGAAACACAGACGTCGAACAGAAATCGAAATGGTGCAAATAGAAGCTATAATAAACTTCCAAAATGCAAAATGACTAGAAGACCTCTTATCATTTTAATGCAAGAAGTGCTTGAAATTTAACTAAAAGGAATTGTGAAGAGGTTTTTATTGATTTTTTTTATGTGTATCGGGTATACTGATAGCATCAATTTACAGCAATCAGACGTCTGTGGTTCCTGTAATTCCACTAAAACTAAGTGTTTAATGACGTCACTAATCGTGAATGCCTTAATACCCGCATATTTTGCGATGAGTGACGTCATCAATCAATTAGTTTTAGTGGAATTACAGGAACCACAGACGTCTGATTGAAAATTTGAATGGTGGAAATCGATGCTATCAGTGTTTCCGATACACATACAAAAATTAGAAAATTTCTTTACAATCTCTTTAACAAATTTATAACTTACATCCATTCTTAATATGAAAATGCACCAAAATAATCTCAACTAGAAACTGTTTTAATATTAACATGTTAAACTCCATGCGTACAACTGGACTAAAGTTTAAACAGCAAATAAACTGCTTATGTTGAAAGAATAATTCCCAGCGTTTCCGAAGCAGGAAATCTTAGTACAGACAATGAGAAAAGATAAAGAAAACAATTCAGTATGGTTGCTAATGTTGTCTAGGGGATGTAACTAATTCTTCAATCTTATTATATAAGGGCATGGTTGTCTGACATTATTGTATTCGGCAATCCTCGGCAGTTTCCGTAAAGCTGAATCTGTTGCAGAGCGCTAGTGGAACTTTCACGGTAGACAAATTTGCGTCTTGAATATAGTACGAATACCTTAAAAAAAATACCTTTAACTAGAAATTTCATTTTCTTTTTCTCAAGAAATGACGAGTCATCTTTTTAACTTTCCAACGCGGATAATTCTGGACACAAATGGATTAGAAGAACCAAATTTAGAAGGTGAGCTGTGAAGATTAGCTCAGCTAAAAAGTTTCCGTTTCTGAGACTTAGGTACGATTGGTCAAAGGGCTAACTCTATCTCTTTAAGAACATTGGATGAAATGGAATTTTACTAAAATGATTTTTTTAGCTCCTTTGCCCCACTGTTCTGATTGTAACGGGAAACGTCATGCAGAGAGAGCATAGAGAGACCCCTCTCAAGACAATTTAGCTCCTTCTAAAAAGTTAAAGGACTTGAATGTCTCTTGAATCTCTGGGGTAACTACGACCTGTCTGGTTCTACAGTTAATTCTGTCTAATCTGATGATTTTTTGTTGACGGTTGAAATCTTTTGGTGATTTCCAGCATAAAACTTTGGCTAACGGATACGATTTTATTATACTATAAGCTTTTGTTGTTTAGTGCTACACAAGTTGTTAATGTGTGTTTATAAAACAAATCTTACATGTAAATAAAATTACAAAGTATGAAGAAATAAGATAAATAATACTGTATTGTTCTAGTCAGATGTATGATGTTTGTAGTATTATTTACTGCTGATGACGCAAATGACTGGAAGCAATATTCTGAAAACAATGGAACGGATTTCCTTTAAATGGAAAAATAAACAGAGTTGGTTGAAACCAAGGTCAGTAACTTGTGAGTGGTTAAGCAAGACCTTGTTCCATTTTCCATAAGCGGGTAAAACATGCTTCAATAATTGACGTGCGAATACGCGAGGTATGGTGTCCGGTGTGGGATTGAGTTACAGTAGAAATGAATCCTGTCCGGTGGCACAGTACCTCGTCTATTCGCGGCTTAACTTTATTTTATTTCTGCACCTGATTTGGCCAATGAAAAGGAACAACACCTTGCAGTGCACAATGAGAAAATTTGAGTGTGCTTATGTAATATGAATTTATGAAATGAATTGCCAGATTTAATGTTTAATCCGGCAACGAATATAATAAATTTCATATTACACTCGTTTATATAGCAATCGTTTAAGAATTCGGTATTTGGAACAATTTCATGCCCTTTACCTTAAATTTTAACTGAGTCGTCAACTCCAAAGATATGCTATGCTTTTCTGTTTACATGATGTATGAATACATGACCTAATTTGCATAGTTAGTAACCTCTGCTATGAGTTCATATCGTTTTTTATGAACCTGTGTTATAAACCCAGGAACAGTACTGTTGTGCGGCGTAGGGTAGTGAGGGCTTGAACATCCTTCACTGCGTTTTAAATGTCGGAAATTTTGCTACATTAGTATTTTATGTTTATAAACTCAATATACAAGGACTGGAATTAGTTTACACAGTCATTAATCAAGAGTTTTATTTGTGGTCTGATTTCTATATGAAGCTTTAACGGAGTTATTTCCCTTCTCATATTTTAATCTTTGCAGCTTCACCAGTTCATAACTTTCTTAAAGAGTGGTGCCCCGTCTTGAGAAACAACATAATCCGTATTTCCGAAGGTCCTGCAAATGGTTCTATCGCTTGCATACTTAAAACAACCGGCATCGCGAGAACATACTACAGCGCAATGTGCCGCTCTACGCACAATCACCAGGGATCGAGAGGATGCTAGGGGAATGGCGTTTCTTTCAACCAATCTGAAGTAATTATGGCTCCACGTGTCGACATCCTCTGAAAACAAAACCCGGCAAAACCATGATTTATAAAAACAAAACATGTCGAAAAATGGAATGAAAAGTACTAAAAAAACCTGTCACGGAGTTTTGTCAACTCGATTCTATGGAGGGTTGCACATTAAAGACAGTGAACTCAAAATAGAAATTCATATCATCTCTCTTACTATTGTTTTATCTTATTCAAGTGTATGACAACTTTTAGTATTGTTATAATTGAAAGAGAAACTGATAGGTGTATTAAGGACACTGAGTTGGTAGAGCAAATATTTAGACGGACGTGTCCCTTTAACATGCACAGTCTGTAGTAAGCCTCTAGTCTGTAGTAAGCCTCTAGTCTGTAGTAAGCCTCTTTGCGAAGAAAAATAAAAAAAAGATAATTATATACTTTACCGTTTTTAATTGATCTATTTTGGCAACAGAAATGTTCAGTTTCACGATTAAACTCCTCAGGCGGAGAATGCATGGTAACGTAGGGGTCAAAATCATGTTTATGAGCACGCACGTGGAAACCAGGTCCGCCATCATTGGTCCAATAATACATTTCCAGTTTCTTTCCAGTAATCCACACAAATTGACCATCATTTTCTACCAACCCCAGCCAGAAATCACTGTAACTGAAAAATGAGAAAGAGTGTAACCAGGCTCATTGATAGATAGATAGATATTTATTTATTGTAATGTTTGCCCTTTTTGGGCAGCATACATCATGATACTAGATAATACATAATAATATCATGATACAAGATAATACATAATAATATCATGATACAAGATAATACATAATAATATCATGATACAAGATAATACATAATAATATCATGATACAAGATAATACATAATAATATCATGATACAAGATAATACATAATAATATCATGATACAAGATAATACAAAATAATATCATGATACAAGATAATACATAATAATATCATGATACAAGATAATACATAATAATATCATGATACAAGATAATACATAATAATATCATGATACAAGATAATACATAATAATATCATGATACAAGATAATACATAATAATATCATGATACAAGATAATACATAATAATATCATGATACAAGATAATACAAAATAATATCATGATACAAGATAATACATAATAATATCATGATACAAGATAATACATAATAATAACTATTAATAAGTAATACAAATATTACACACTGACATCAATTAATAGTTATACAAAAAAATATAGTGTATACATAAACAAGTTTGAAAAAAGCAACATCATAACAAAATAATACATCAACAAATACACACCATATGTGGTGACAAGTTTAAGAAACAAAAATATATATAAATTTATGCAACAGCATGACGGACTATATCAAGTAAAATAATACTATCTTATTTTAAGTCTAATAAGACTCTCACATGCTAAGTAAACATAAAGAAATAAAACACCAAAGGAATAAGCAAAATATATCAATAATTCTGTTGTAATTCGTGTACATATAATATTATAATACATTTATTTTATGGATTCTAGTGCGTAAAAAATAAATTTAGAAACAGCTAAAGGCAAACTGTAAGTTAGCGGATCAAAAAGAACATGAAATGACAAAGGAATATTTAAATGTGAAATGGTAGAAGTGATATATTTATCTCCTAGGGTATCGTATTTAGGACATATCAGGAGGAAATGGTATTCATCTTCAACCAAGGATAAATCATATTGTTGACATGCGTTTATCAACAGGAATTTGTCTGTACCGACTTCTAGTAATAATTCTAACCAGCGGCGTTACTACGCCCCTCCAACATCCCCCATAAAAGAGGCTGGCCCCCATTTTTTTGCATAGTGAAAGAATGGCCTGTGCCCCGAACCCCCACCTCGCTGGAAAATTTGTGGCCCCCTCAACTAATGTTTCCTAGAAACGCAACCGAATTCTGACCACCAAAACAAATGTACTATTACTGAAGATTGTAGGTTGGTAGATGACAAGCGGATGCTGATATCGCAAACTAGCTAAACTATTGCTAAAGAGGTTTTATAAGTTTTGTAAGTGTATTGTGGCCTTATGTGGCTTCTAATTGCATCATTTCAATTTTCAGTCACTATGTGTTCCTGTGATTACCCTTGATTATTTAACAGCTTTTGCGATAGTGACGTCATGAAATACTTAGTTTTAATGTGTCCGAATGAAAATTGAAATTGTGAAATTCGATGCCTATTAAAGGTTTAGAAAACCTCTTTACGACACCTTTGATATTGAATTAAATGACAAAAGGTTCGTATCCGATTAGATAAAATTACTCTTACCGTGTTGAAAATAGTAGCCGTTGATCAGCGGGTGTAACTAGCACGGGCAATCGTCCACCAGTTTCCCGGCAGACCTCAAAGGCTGTAGTGTAGTTAGCCACGCCAGTTGGTGCTCTAGAGTGATTAGGTTTTCTGTATCTGTGACCTTAAATAAATATGATAGTTAAATGTAGAACAGTTTACTATCACATGGCCAAATCTTTGGAATGAGTGAAGCCTGTTCCCCGACCCCTCTCATAATGTATGATATGATATATTTTTTAAAGAAAGTATAGATAAATCTCGACATAAAAATACTTAATTGTTTAAAAATCCAATATTCAGATGTTCAGAATTTTGTCTATCTTGATGGGCGCTGTACATCTACAAACTTGTTAAAGGGACAGACTCCCCATTTTGGGGATTGATTTCGATCTTAAATATATGTAAATAGTCTTCACATAACTCTTTCAAAAATACCTCAAACTAGGAATTTCACTTTTTATTTCTATATATGTGTATTTTACATGCAGTGTCTTTAGAAATGACGAGGCGTCTTTTTAACTTTCAAACGCGGATAATTCTGGATACTCACGGATTGGAAGACTCAAATTTCGACGTTGAGCTGTGCACAATATTATTGATTGGCTTAGCTAAAAAAAATTCCCGTTTCTGAGACCAAGATCAAAACGAGTAGACCTACTACCTTCGTAGAAGCAGACGACCTTTTTATTGCTTGAACAGAGTAAAGTGAACCATTTCTGATTCCATCCAGCGTAAACACATCTCTGCCCAGTTTGAGATCTTGGTTCGAACATCGCCCAGTTTTGTATTCCAAGAATGTTTCCATTTAACCACTGATAGAAACCACCATATAGGTTGTTCCATTGTAACCCTAGCCACAACTCGTCCCTGAAAGTAATAAAAACAGCAATTATATTTGCATTTCAAAAAGTTATCAAATTTTTTTCTGCCCCGAACCCAGAACACCTTTGAAATGTAAATCAGAATATCATCCTAAAAGATCATGGACCACCCCCCCCCCCTCCCCCTCATCCATTAATGAATAAAGGTAGCATAATAGATGTAACTCAAAATAACATAATATCTCAGCTTACATATCTGACGTTGTTAGAAAATTCCAGAAATCTTCGTAGTCCTCTCGAGTTTCAAGAACCGGAAGGGTCAGATTGTAAACTTGACAGATGTTCCAAGCATCCCAGAAAGTTCTCTCTTCGGGATCATAGCTCAGAAACTGAACAGAAACTGTAAAGATAAAAGAAATTAGCAAAGAGTAAAGTTGGTTTAGTTCGCCACATGTAAACTAATACGCACAAACTCGATTGCCTCTTTAAATATTAACAATGCAAGTTTGACCCACACCAGAATTTGGATTATAATTTACGGAACGTTATCTGCATGTACGAAACGTTATCTGTATGTACGAAACGTTATCTGTATGTACGAAACGTTATCTGTATGTACGAAACAGTATCTCTGTGTGCGAAATGTTATCTGTATGTACGAAACGTTATCTCTGTGTGCGAAATGTTATCTGTATGTACGAAACGTTATCTCTATGTGCGAAATGTTATCTGTATGTACGAAACGTTATCTCCATGTACGAAACGTTATTCCATGCATATAACGTTATTCTGTTAACGTCACTATCACCACGTACGTAACCTTATCTCCATGTACGTAACGTTATTCCGTGGACGTAACGTCGTTATTTCATGTACAGAGCGTTACGCCGTGTACATAACGTTATCTCTATGTGCGAAACGTTATCTCCATGTGCGAAACGTTATCTGTATGAATGTAACGTTACTCCGTGTACATAACGTCATCTCTATGCACAAAACGTTATCTCCATGTGCGAAACGAAATCTGTATGTATGTAACGTTATCTCCTTTTGCGAAACGTTATTCTATGCATATAACGTTATTTCGTGTACATAACTATATCTTATGTACGTAATGTAGTAACGCCGTGTACATATAACGTTATGTCGGCGTACGTAACGTCCATATTGAATGAATGAATGAATGAATGAATGAATGAATGAATGAATGAATGAATGAATGAATGAATGAATGAATTTTAACTTACATCCTTTCCTTATGATAAGATGATCCAACAGAAAAATTCCAAAAAGAAACCTTTTTAATGTTAACATTAACATAGTTGTACCTGTACTAAAGTTTAAACAGTTCTATAAACTTCTCTATTTTATGTCTTAAAAACGGCATCAGCATTATTATTTATTTCGATCGTTTCCGTCCTTTTATAGTTTTTAATCTGATGTCGGTATAAGTGCACTGGTAAAAGTGCGTTTAATTTCAAGGGATTTTTCTGACTTTTTATGTGTATCTGGGGCATTTATGACTTTTGTTTGAATCATTCCGAATTACGTCAGTGATGTGATTTATGTAGTTATTCTTAACCTAATATGACGTCACTCAAAGCCGTTAATACTTAAGAACAGCTTGTGCAATAACTACTCTTAGTTTTGGTGTAATTGCATGTTCCACAGATGTCTGACTGAAATTGGAATGGTGCACATCGATCCCATCAGTGTTCCCGATACACATACAGATTTTTTTATAAATCTTTACAATCTCTTTAAAACGACCTTATTTCGGGCTTGACTATAGCAGTGATATTTCTATATGACTACAATTAATGTATTGAGCACTATTTTAACAGTTTTAATTCTATATCACTCTAGAATTGATGTATTGAGAACTATTTTAACAGTGGTATTTTTATATCTCTCTAGAATTGATGTATTGAGCATTATTTTAACAAAGAGCTTTTTTGTTATTGTAAGGTATGATATGTAAACTAAATAGAATTAGGTGGAAAAGAAGTTCTTTAAAGTTGAATATTTTCATTGTACAAACTTGGTCTAATATTGTTTATTGTGTAAGTACTTTAACATTATCACATCGAAACAAAGACTGTTTCTCTTTCTAAGAAAAAAACCGATATCCGGTAACTGAGTAAAGGTGGGAAAAGACGAGGTACGGTGACCTGTGTGATATACGGTGCGGGATGATCGATAATATATCTGTTGGGGCAAGTAATGTATCTGGGGGGGGGGGGGGGGGGGGGGGGGGGGGGGG